CGGAGGCCGGGGCAGGGGCCGGGATCGGGAACCCATTTTAACCGTATGATCTCTCTCTTTATCAAAGTGCTGATCTGAAATAATTTCCTTTCCTTAGTGCTAGCGTAGGATTCCAGGTATAAAGCTACAGGCCCCTGCAATATCAGATCCAACTATGTCTTCCAAAGCAATCAGTCATAAGACGTCAGACGCTATTTGAAACCTCAAGTTTCAAAACAAGATCCCTGCTGCATGTAGTAGAATGAGTCCTTGATGTCTGCAGCCAACTATTTTTGCAGCTGATTATATGTGTAGCAGCTTGTATGGCCACAGATCTTATTTACTAACCATAAATAATGCAGTTCATCTTAAAATCTAACTACTAGTGTTGATTCCTCAGTCTCCTTTCAGCAAGGACGTTTTCAGGAAGGCACACGTTGAGTGGAGGAGCATTTCTTATTAATATAATTGAATATCTCCTAATTCTCTATGTAGGGGCTAGGGAAGAGCAGAGGATATGCTCATTTTTCACTGCAGCTCTTTTATCTTCCCATCTATTTCTGTTTTGCTAAACGCTGGCTTTCTGCATTTGCAGCTGAACTGATCACCATGGCTTCAAACTCTGGAGCTGCTCCCAGTGCTGAAGGATCCAGAAATTTAACTTTGAAAAGGTGCCTTGATGTGCTCAGGGATGCAAAAAACGACAGCGAGCAGTTTGCAGCCTTGCTTCTGGTAAGAATCTGCTTTGGGATAATGCCACTGAGTGTAATCGCTTCAGAAGAACACAGGCCTGGCTGCTCTCTGATAGACAGCCTGGCTGGAAAAGCAAGTAGAGAAGGCAAAACTTGCTCTTAGCCCGGAGCGTTTGAGATGAGAATGCCTGAGTTTTGTTTTCAGCTGTGCTTGCTGACATGTTGGGAGTTTGGGGGCAAGATGCTTCAAGTGCTTATACCCTGATGTTCCCGCTAGCAAAAGGGACATAGCCTCTCCTTTCCCTGGGTGTCCTGAGCATTAATCAACACCTCTTGAAGCACTCTGGTAAAGCTGTGGATTAGAACTTTGACCAAGTACCCAGCTCAGTGGTCGGGGAATCACTTTTCTGTACAGATGAAAGTTCTTTATGCTTCTTATTTACCTGTTCAACCTTGTAAAGAGCCTTAGCAAAGCCTCTTCTTATGCTGCCCACTCGCCCCTGCTTTATCTTGCAGGTCACCAAAGCAGTCAGAGCAGGAGAAGTAGACTCTAAGACCCGTCGCCAGATCTTTGATGCAATTGGATTCACGTTTCCGAATCGCCTGCTCACCTCCCGGGAGCCCCCGGCAGGCTGCCCAGAGCACATGTTCCAGGCGCTTGGCCTTACCCTGCTGGCGTGTTTCTGCACCGATCCAGAGTTAGCTGGCCACTCCCAGATCCTGAACAAGATCCCAACCTTCAATGACATCCTGGTTTCCCCCTGTAATCCGGACAGTTCATCCATGGTCGATGATGTGTACCAGTGTCTGACTGCTGTCATGGCCACTCCCAGGGGCCCCAAAGAGTTGGTGTGCAAAGGAACAGTGTCTGCCCTCTGCCAGGCCTATGTGAATTGCAGTTATGGCTCTGACCGTGCCTTGCAGCTGCTTATGGGGCTGTTGGCCACAGCAGAGGCCAAGTGCTGGCAGAGAGACACTCCGCACCTCTTGGCCGTGCTGAGCAAGCTCTCTGACGAGTTTCTCAAGACTGAAGACATGACCAAATTTGACCTGTGTGAGGTTCTTCCTCACTTCATTCCCCTGACACCGCCCCTCATGCAGGACTCGCAGGGCTCTGAGTGCCTCCATAGACTTTACAAAGGACTGGCTAAAATTCTGAGCAGTAAACTCAGCCAGTCGCAGCGGGACCCTGCTCTGAAGCTTGCTGCCTGCCTTATGCAGGCCTGTGGGTCAGAGTGGATCCCAGCAGACCGTGCTGGAAGCAAGTTCTTGGCCTTGCTGGTGAACTTGGCCTGCGTGGAGGTCCGCCTGACTCTGGAGGAGCCAGATCCCCTAGAGGTGGAGGGGAAGAAAGAAGTGGTAACAGCCTGCTATGTCCTTATTGAGATGGGGCAAAGAGAAGCCACTGCTAGAAGAGATGCAGAAAATGCAGCTCTTGAGGATCATGGAGGAGGCATTTGGCGCTGTAATATTCTACTTGAGACAGGTAATGCAGGGCCTGGACATAGTTTGTTTTTCAAGCAAAGGACATGTTTTATGGCTGTTCACTCTGGAGTTCTGGAGGAGGCTTTGATACCTGTTCACTGGAAAGCTTAAAATGGATCTTATTGACCTCAATAGGGCCTCATCTGCAGTACAATGTGGCCAGTCTGATAGATCACAAAATAGCGGATTACAAACTGCATGGTCACTGTGATTTTTGTTTTCTTCTTCCATACCTTTCCTACCTCTCAATAAATAAAGGAATCAGCATCTGCTTTAGCTACAGAAGTCCAGACTGGTTGCAGCAGCTCAGCAGCTCATGTCACAGCGATAACAGCGTATATCAAATTATGCATCTTGGCCCAATGCAGTTTTCATACCAGAGTTAGCTGGTGAGGACAGTGGCCCTAATGTCTCATTTTCTGTCTGCTTTCTTCTTCATGCAGGTTGGACGGGAGGAGCTACATGATCCTTTCATATTTGCTTCTGTTCGAATCCTTGGAGCCTGGATGGCAGAAGAAACATCCTCCCTCAAACGGGAAATCTGTGAGCTGTTGCCTTTCCTCGTTCACTACGCCAAGAAGCTTTTCAAAGAGGGAGAGACAGCTGCAAGTCTTCCTCAGTCTGATGGGATGCTGGCCGGGCTCGACAGCTCCAAGGGCTCAGGCTTACCCCGGGATGCTCTGAGGTGAGCATCTTAAGCACAGAGTTGGTGCACGCTGCTGCTTGAGGTATTCCAGCATTTCAGCACAAACAGGCTCAACTCTGTTTCCCCAGTCCAGAGAAATGCATCCTGCATCTATGTCAGATTCCTGTTTGTCCTTTGCTGGAAAGAGGCAACTGGAACCGCTGCAGTACAATTCACAGAGGGCTTGGACAGCTGTAGACTAATGTGAGGTGCCAGCTATTCACAGAGACTGTTAGGCAGGGAAAGACTTGTGGAGGCTGTATGTCAAGGTTTTAGCTGCAACAAAGAGGGGAAATAATAGGGCCTTTATACTCTGCTGTGGCATTGCGGTACCTTTCCCTCAGGCCTGAGGGACTCTGCACTGTGTTGCCTGTTGAGCTGATTTGAGAGTCATTTCTATTCTCCATTCTCCCTGCAGTTCCAGTTCCACGTGCTCCTTTTTCTCCCAGTAAGCACAGGGCTTAGACTCAACTCCCTGCATTCTTCCTTGTTTCCAATCTCTTTCCTTTTCCAGATTTCTGCTGCCTGGCTTTTGCCATTTAACAGCAGAGGACAAGCCCCGGGACATCCTCGTCTCAGAAGGGGCACCAGCACTGCTGTGTGAGTACTTCCTGCATCACTGGGAGGTGCTGATGTCAGAGCCCGGGTCCCTGACTCCGCTAACAAGCACTGAAATGAGTCTACAGACTGCATGTGGGATTTTCTTTAACCTGGTCGTGACTGCACCAGACCTTATCAGGTAACAGACCCAGAGCCACAGGAGCTTGTTTTAAGATTGTCAGTAGGAAGAAAGAGTACCTTGTGAAGCGAGCTTGCTGGATCTTTGAAGACACTAACTGCTGTAAAAGGGACATTCCTGTTTTCAACACCAATCACATTACTTTTTTGCTGCTACATTTAACCTTGACATTTTCAGGTGTTTCTGGCTCTGCCCAGGAAATAGTCTCAGGGTTTGCTTTCTCTCTAGGCGAGAGAAATCCTTTTCCTCTCTGATGGACATGTTGCTGAAGTCTCTGCCATTTCTGCTACCCCAGAAAGATCACCTGGTTCTAGCGGCCAACATTGCCACTCTGGGCTTGATGATGGCCAGGATCCTTGCAAGTCCAGCAGGTAAGAAAAGTTCCCACTGTCAAAGTTGCATACTTTGCATATTGCGTACTGCTCTTGTTCCTGGGCAGAGATTGGAGTCTGAGTGGTTGGGCTGGATAAAGCAGACACAAGGGAAACGGTTCAAATTTTGGGTGGAGTTTCTGTCTTTGGTAAAGTGACAAAAACAAAACCTAAAGGAGCAAGGAGCATGCGGAAAATTCAGCAGGCCAACGAGTTGGGAGACAGTGTGGATTCAGAGCTCTCTAGAGCAGGAGCATATGGTTCTTTGTTCCCCTTCCACTGAAAGCTCTGCTGCAGGCTGACCCACAGGAGGGTCCCTCCTTTGTCCTAGAGAGTCATTCATTTCCTGTTTCTTTCAGTTCTTCAGGGGACCCAATCTGCCAAGGAGTTTTTTGGAGCTACCATTCGCTTCCTATCAGAGGCCCACGCTGCCCAAACAGACCCCACCAGCCACTGTTTGGCCATGGCTGTGTCGCCTGCCTATGAGACTGCCTGGGCTGACGTCCGTGAGCTTTGGTTCCTGGGGATGCAGGCCTTTGCCAGCTGTGTGTCACTTTTCCCGTGGTTGCCACAGACAGTCCTCCAGGCACGGTGGCTGGAAGGCCTCTCGGAGTTGTTGGCCCAAGTCACTCCAGCCTCAGTGGATTTTGAACTCATTGCTGCTTTCCAGGGTGTCTTGGTAGAGCTGGCCAGAGTCAGTAAGCCATGCAAAGAAGTGATCCTGTCGCACCAGGGGGAGGAATGGGCAAATCTTTATGGTATGGCAGCTTTGGAACAGTGTCTTTCTGAGCAATAAAGCTCTTTTCACCAGCAGTCTAGGGTGGAAAATAAAGCCTGGCATCTGCACAAGATGTATTAAACAATCCTCACACCCTCTGATGCTGAATAGGGACGCGAGGCATTTAAAAGACCAGACTTCATAAAATTAGAGCAGTGCAGCAGAGCTCAGCAGGATTTGCTCAGTCCAGATACTTGACATCCAGAACAGTTGCTGCCTCAGTATATTTCAAGATGTACCTACTCGACCTTTTGTCAATATTTCTTTATTTTTAAAAACAACCCTTTTTACTTCTGAAGAAGTTTTCTGTTGCTTCATTTTTCTTTGTTGCCACACTGTTGGAATTTACTTCTGCCCAAAGCACTAGCATGGTGCCTCCTTTCCCCTTGCACTAGCATGGTGCCTCCTTTCCCCTTTAACATGCTCTCACAGTTTCTTCACAGTAATCCCCTGAAGATGTCACCTTAATTTGTTTTCTGTCAGAGACCTGCATATGTTAGTAAGGTAAATTTGCATGACAAGTGGAAGGCTTCAAACACTAGGGAAAGGAAGAGTTTTAGAATTTACCAGTAGAAAGGAGAATAACTTTACCTGTAATTTGGCGCAGACCAGTCCCCTTCTGGTGTGAAGACACGCAGAGGTCCTATTACCATGCTGTGGCATGCCCTGCCCTGTTTGCACCCATGACCAGTACCGTCATCCCAAATTCATGCCTAGAAAATCTTTACAGCGCCGCTTGCTATTGAGTGTCCTGTCCTGTAACACACCTGCACGAGGCACAGTCATAAGATTTGTATTGTTCACTCAGGCTCCCTCTCACTGCAGGGATGGGATGTACAGGGAGAATTTTCCATTCATACAAGGAGAGGGACTGTTGAACCTGCAAAGGCCTTGGCGCTCTGTAGAGTCCTCTGGTAAGGACTGTAAAACATAGACCTCGGTGAATTACACCTCACTCTCCCTACAGAGCAAGAAAATACTGTATCACTTTACAGAAAAGAGCCGCGTGTAACAACGTGCATGTACCACTGCTTGTACCACTGGCTTTGCAGTCTGCACTCTCGGCCCTAGAGTGCCCGGTGGGCCTGCAAATAGAACAGAACCAGAAACAATAGCCTGGGTGGGGCGATACTTTGGAGATGGACTAACCAAAGATGGTTTAGGCCAGGACGAGAGCTCCCTGTTTGGGCTGCGGTCTGGTACTTTGAGACATTTCCACCAGATGTCAGTCTAAGAGCATTTTAGGAGAGAGGTGCTCCCAGCTCGGGAGGGTTTTCCCCAGCCAGCCAGGACAAAAACGAGGCACAGATGTAGACGGCAAAGAAAACTCATGGTTGTGAAACTGCAAAATCCTGTGATTCAGAGAAAATCAAGAGAGGAGCCCTCTCAAGAGGAAGGCTGAGTCAGGGTGTATTCCTATTTGATAGCATATTTTTAAGTAATTTTATGAAAGTAGATGCCTTACATAACCAGTGAGAAGGCATCTGCTGTCTGCTATTGTTCAGGAAAAGTATCTTTCTGATCTTTCCAGCTCAGCCCTGAACAGTTAATGCAAGTTGAAACAAGGTTAGGTGCTACCAGAAGAGAGCAATGCAAGCCAAACAAGCAAATGAGCCTTCTGGAGTTGGAAAAGAGCCTAACTCTGATTTAGTGTGGGCTGGGTGAGTATCCCTGTTCTGCCAAGAACCCCTCATCCCTGCAACGCAGAGAAACATCAGTGTGAGCTGGAAGAGTCCAAAATGCATTTCAGATTGTCAAAAAAAAAAAAAAAAGCCTAAAATGCTTTAGCTTTGGCTGTTCCTTGTACCGTATGCTGTTCTGCCTCTGGTCAAAGGGTGTGGGCTTCCCATTAATAAAAAGCTATCATTAGTGTTAATGAGAGATAGGCACCTGTATCAACAGGAGCGTGCTCCCCTCTCTGCTCCTCGTGCTGTGCTGGGCCCTCTGTGGTTAGCAGCGCTGGCTTGGCCATCTTTAATCCCCTGCGGGCAGCAGCATGAGCTTTCACAATACCTGACCAGAGATCCAGTCTAGGCCTGCAGGAAACCTTTTAAGACCGGAGCGGTCCTAGGCCTGGAGGCCTTTGGCTATTGGCCTTTAATTCTCAAGCAGGCTACCTGCATATCCATGAGCATATCCATGCTCACTGGAAGCAAAGAAAGAGCCCTGGGAAGTCCTTCAGTTCATTCTTCAGCACATCCCAGGGCAGTGGGTCTTCTCCAGGCCACTAATAGGTGCCTGGAGAAGACTCCTGTCTCAGACTCCACATCCCTCATTCTCACGCTTCTCAATGAAAGATCCCACCAGGGTGTGGGAAAGACAATCCCTGGCTTGCCAGAGCGGGAGCCTCCCAGAGACCCTGCCTGCCTGAGACATGCTTACTTCTCTGTGCAACATGAAATACATTCCTCTTGGCTGCCCGTGAACTGACAGAGGACAGGGTGAGACACAAACGTTGCTCTGGCAGTGTTAGTGGGCTGAACGCCAGGGGAGATGTGCTAGGTAGATGCCAGGGCTCCCTGGGAAACATTACTGCTCTCTTGTCCCAGGGCACTGCTTTCTAAACATGCGCTTGGACAGAGCACTCCTAAAAGGCTGATTTCCCTTCCTGGGATCCCTGGGCTCTAACTACAGGGAGCATGTTCAAGAGGTGAGAGCAGAGCAGCTGGCAAAGGCCACCCGTCATATGGACTTTTCTATTATTTGTATTTTACCAGTTTGCCTGCCCTGGCATGCTCAGTGCTGCTCAACCCGTTGCAAGAGACAGTCTGTGCCCTGAGCTGCCAGCGCACTAACTGGCCAAGGCTTCAAAGGCTGCGGGGTGACTCCCAGGCCACTCCAAGTGTTGCAAGCCCAAGTGCATGTTTTGCCACTGGGGCCTGGCACCTGTGGGCATCAATTCTCTATTGCCAGAAATGTGGCTGATGCCGATTACTACTGGCAAAATCCAGCACCAAGTGTGCTTTATCTCTCAGTGCATTTTCAACACCAGGACAAGCTCTCCAGGAATGAGCCAGTCTTTCACCATGGCTTGGACAAGATGGATAAGGTCCCAGAGGAGCAGGTGCACATTCTGTTCTGCTGTGACAGCTTAAATGTCATTGCAAACCCTACCATGGCATACATTATCTTACAATGTTTATTCATGTCATCCCAAAAGCACTGGCAATAAAATTAAATATTTCATAAGGTTGTTATTTGGCTGCAGCACTACAGAAACCACAAGCGACCCCCCTGCAACAAACGTCTTGCTGCAAGATGTGACAAAGGTGGTGAGGGTGTGAGGCCTGAGCAGCGAGAGGGGCTGCACCGTTCTCTGCTCACCCCTAGACGGGGCCCTCATGCTTCTCTCTGAAACCCTGCCTGGTTCTCCAGCCCCAGAGCAAGTAGCTTTGTTCCCTGCCTGGATTCCTGGAGAGGGGATGTGGGAAATGACAGGAGAAAGTCACATTTCATTGGGCGGCTGAGGGAAGCCAGGATTCCCAGTGGCAGAGACCACTCTGAGGGTGAACAAGCTCATCTTTGACTGGGGCAGCGAGATGGGATCACACACTTGTTTCTGTGTCCCTACGGCCCCACTTCTGCAGTTATTTTCACTGCTGATGCCTGAAAGCAACGGTTGCTCCTTCAAGCCCCTTGCACACTCCTGGAAGAGCCAGCATATACATTGATCTGCCTGGGGACCTTCATTACGAGAGGATCCTTGGTTTTCAGGCCCTCAGCATTACAATGTCACTCTATCAGCAAACATGAAGGACATTTGGCGGAGCAAAAAGCAAGCACAGCTGGACACGCACATGGCATAGTCTTTAAACTGTAAGGCTACAGAGCAGACAGCCATGGAAAGTTGTACCGTGTTTAAAAGACCCCAGCAATTGCTCTGGTCATTCTGGACCAGTAACCGAACAGGGCAGCCTCGGAGGCAGCAGCTCTGAAGCGGCAGCGTCAGAGGGGCTGGACTTTGGCACGAACGTGCACAGCTGCCCAGCATCGTGCTGCTCATAGGCACTCGCCAGCATTTGCTGCGAGGTCCCTTGCCCCCTTCCTCGGCACAGCTGGGGCTGGGGCTGTCGGAGGCGAGGGCCGGGCCCCAGGCCGATCCGTGGCAGTTCCCGTTACCCCAGGCGGCGCGGGTGCCAGGCTGCCCTGGCTCCTTGCCCCGGCACTGGGTTTGCCATGAGGTCAGTTCGCCAGGAGCGTTCGGTGACGGCAGGGCAGCCTTTCCTTTTCCTTCCCTTTGTCTGTCAGTTTTGCAGGTTTCCTTTGCTCTGTCTCATTTTCAGGTGGAACCGTGACTTCCCTTCTGAACGCCCGCCCGGGCCAGCCTCCCCCTCGGCACTGCGGGCCTGCGGGCAGGCCAGTTGCTGTGTTTACCACTAGGATTTTGCACAGTTTCACCTCTTTCAGTTGAATAAAGAATCAACATTATACGGACTAGACGAGCAAAGGACTTTAAGAATGAACTGGAACATAACTGCAAAATACAGCATGCCCAATCCAATTTTTCCTAGCAAATAAAATGAATCTGGTGGAAAATAAATAGAGACCTTTCAGGAGCAGCGTCCTTGAAAAGCATTTGGGGGGGGTGTGAAGAAATTTGAATAGATCAGCCCTTTACACCTCTGTACATCCCTCCTCCCTCCTTTAAATGCCATCTTTAATAGAAATAAATTAGAATAAATGATCAGCCTTTCTTTGCCTCCTAAAGACAGGTGGCAGGGTAATATTAAAAGAAATGAATAAAAATTCATTTAATGAGCATTGTTAATTAAACCTGGAAATCAAAGAGGTCTGAGCTGTGGGAATTCAGAGGAAAAATGAAAATGAAGGGAGCTGTAGCTCGGGGCAGGAAGAGTGGAATTAAATTAAATGTAATGTGGGACTGTGTTTGTTAATGTCTATCACACATCACAGTGTATTACAGTTTAGGGTAAAGTGTTTGTTCCCTCTCACACACAAATTACACGCCGCCACAAATGGAAACTTCTGCACAGCAATGGGCAGTCCGGCCCCAGCAAGGACTCGGCGGCCGCGCGCCGCGCGTTACGGCGAGGACAGGGTGGCCAGGGACTTGCCCAGGGCCACGCAGCAGGTCAGTGGCAGAGCAGGACCCAGAGCCCTTCCCACGGAGCCAGGGTGCAGCAAGGGTGTGTGTGAGTGTGCGGCTGTGTGTATGAGTGCGTGTGTCAGCCGGTCGTTAGTGTGGGAATGTGTGTCAGTGTGTGGGTTTCACTGTGTGTGCAGTTTGTGCGTAAGCATGGGTGCGTGTTGTGTGTTACCGTGGACGTGCTACTGTGCGTGTTAGGGTGCCTCGGTGCGTGTGTGCACGTGTGTGTCTGTGTGCATCAGTGCGCATCGCTGTACGTGCGTGTGGGTCAGTGCCTGCACCAGTGCATCGGTGTGTGCGTGTTTGTGGGTGTGTCTGTATCAGTGTGTGCATGTGTGCACATACATGTGTGTGTGTGTGTGTGTGTGCATGTGTGTGCGTGCGTGTGTGTGTGTGTGTCTGCTCCTGCCAGTCCTCTGGGGGCCAGAGGTGGTTCCAGATGGCCCAGCCCCACACACTGCACCGGACCGAGCCGCCGCCAC